TCTAAAGACGCCACTGTAACAAGCTCCCTACTCGAAGTGGACTCCATTTTCTCAGTAAAAAGACAGTAAGAAGGGTTTTTGTGCAAACAATACCTAAGGGAATTCGACACAAACGGAGACTGGCCGGAATTTAATATTACAGTCAATCTCGACGTCGAAAAATTTGGAGATTTGAGAGAGTTTCAGAGTGCAAAGTGTTCAAAAATCCTGAAAATTGGGATTTTCTCGCCTTTTATAAAGGTCCAAGACGAACCCCAGCCATCAGATCAAATCTCAGTCAATTCGAGCCCTCCATTTCAGATCCAATCCGAGGCGTTGAATTCAAACAGTTTTTAAATCCTACGCCTCAGATTTCTGTGTGCCTCCCACGCACCTCTCCAACGCGTCTGCTTCTAGAAGCGCCAGCTGCCCTCATAATTGCATTTTTAATTCGACGGCAGCAGTGCCTTGGAAGCCGTAACGGTTCAGCTACTTTTCCTCTAAAACAAGCACAAAACATCAAATCATTGGCACAGCAGCCAAGGTACAATCATTACCATTGGACCTCAGCCTCCTCTTCGCCATTCAGCAATTAAGCCTCGCAGGTTCGGTTCCTCAACCACCTCAGCTGCTCTCTTCGCCATTCAGCATCAAGCCTCACAGGTTCGGTTCCTCAACCACCTCGACTTCCTCTTCGTCATTCAGCATCAAGCCTCGCAGGTTCGGCTCCTCAACCACCTCGGCTTCCTCAACCACCTCGGCTCATCTTCAGAGTTCAAACACCTCGCCTACTTCATCGCTCACCCACAGCAACACTTCTCAAGCTCCAACCATGATATAAATATCTACACTTGGACTTGGGGGACTATTATTTGGGGTTCAAAAATTCTTTCAACTTTTACTCCATTAAAGTCCACGCATTACATTAATGATTATACTTGGACTTGGGGGACTATTGGTGCGTGTTGTCAGGCCTGTCCTACCCACCTAGGCTAATGGCCCACTCATCCTGATCCACGTGGCATTCCTGCCAAGGTGGCACATATTGTCGAGGTAGGTTATATTCGAAGTGCTTCAAGCCGAGGTCCATCCGTGGAGGCTCCTCGATCCGATGTACTCTGCCGAAGTCCAACTACCGAGCCTATGACCCCGAAGCATGGAACCTGTTGAATTTAGCTGAGGTCCTCCAGTGGAAGTATTTGTCATATGGTCGAAGCCCCGAAACTGATGCACGAGCCTCTTAACCACAAGGAGCTTCCTCCACAGTCACTTCTCCCAAGAGATCGCCTATTCAAATGACTGATGGAACGTTTGTCACAAGCATAAAGGTCAAATCTTGTCACCAGTATGGAGGACCTGCGCAAGCAATAAATGCGTCGTAAGCTAGCAAGTCAAGTCCCATACCTAGGAAAAGACGTTTGAACTAAAGAGATGAGTCCACGTGCCACTTCATCCAAGGGCTCCCATTTCATATGAATAACTATAAATGCTTCCATTGTGTAATGTCAAAGGCTAATGCAAGAATCAATACTAAAGACTACTTTTACTCAACTCTCTCTCATTTTACTTGCAATACACAAATCAAGTTTCAACACTTTTACATATACATTTACGAGCACCGATTGGTAATTAGTGTACAATCGAATTACGAAGAACCCCTTGGATTCCGAACGTTACCGTCCCGCGTCGTTGGGCTACTCTCACGCCCCTTTGAACCGCTCGACTTAGATCGCCCACGTGTCCTAGCGTGTTGCACATTCGCCCACGCAAGCGTGGGTGGAACCGACATCTGTTGGCGCACTTTTTGAGGTCAACATCAGGCATCCATGCAGCCAAAAAAAAAAAAGAAGAAAATATTATTATACTTGTAGCCATAATCATAAAGCAAACAACCATCACATAAATTCAACACAAAAGATACCTTTACGACCGACGTCATGTGTGAAAATAACAAATGAAATGTAAAAAATTTGTTTGAGGTTACTTTCATGTGGTTTGAATAAGTGAGGACGATTATGGGGGCAGATCTCTAGTATTGATGGTTAAGGTTTGTTAAAAAATGGGTAGGGTTCTTGAGGAGCTTCCCACTTCACTGATTTAGGAGGGAAATTGGGTAAAATGTGAATTGGATTTGTGCATTTCTAATTTGATGTTGTGGTTTGTGTCCTTTTATGTTCCTTTTTTTTAAAGGCGATTTTGAAAAACAAAAATCGTGTCCATATAAAGAACACGGTTTTAGATTTTAAATATCATTTTTTTTAAATTTTTATAATATTTATTAATTGTGACTAGGGTTAATTGGTGATGTGGCACGCCATTTGTCGCCACGTGAGATTTCTGTCCTCTACTTTAGTAAAAAATTAATAGATTTTGGAGAATAAGGGATGAAGTGCAAATAGGACAATTTCAAAGAGCATTTTAAAGCACTTTATAGTTTAGTGAGCAATCCGTGATCAATGCATAAGTTCAGTGATTTTTGAAATATTTCACTTCTAGTTTTATTGGTCGGATTATGAAATTTCTTACTTTTGATCCCAATTATAGATGAAATGATCAATTTGAAAAAAAAAATGCAAGTTCGATAATCAACATTAAAGAAACTTGTAAGTTGGCAGAACTTGAGCTAATTTATCCCAATAAAGAAGCTCCCTTAGATTGCACAACTAATAGCAGTTACTGAAACATGCTTTTTAAGTGATAAATCTTAAGTGAGCAAGTTTGTGCAATGTGATCCCCCCAAACCCCATTATAATACACCCACCAAACCCATAATCTCAAAGAAATAACTTAGCTTCTTCTTCTAAATTGTCAGACCTGCACAACATATATTAAATTGCGTGCATACAATACAGAATTTTGGAGAGATAGTTCTGAATTTTGTGTTTTCTCTATGCTCTTTTTCTAAAATTTTGTGTCATCAAAAGTTCTAGTTTTGAGGGTATGATTGTGGAAATTTTCAAGGGGTGTTGTTTTGGAGGAATGGACAGAAAATTGGTAGAGAAATATTTAAAAATTGGATGGGAATAAGAGAAGAAAAGAGGGCTCATGAGAAAGTCCTTTAAAGATACTCTGAAAGTGCTTGAAGCTGATATTCAACACGCAAATATGATGTATGTTCTTAGTTTACTCAACTTACTTTTTGTTCTCCATTTGTGAGTCTGTTTCTTTTAATTTCTAACTTTTTTGTCTAAATTTCGTGAGTTGTGTTTTGAGTATTCCTTCCCAATATTGTGATTTTTTTTTTTGTAGATATACAAAACTAATAAGTATATATCTCATTTCTGATGGGATTCTGTATGTTACCCTGTTTATATATAATAAAATTGATACGTTTTCAATTGTACACAAGGGGTTTGTTGGAGGAATTTTGTGAATAGTGACGCCAAAATAAGTATAATGATGGTTTGTAAATCTGTGCCGAAAATTGGACAGAGTAACGGCAAAGAAAACACAAACAAGAAGAAGAAGAAAGTAGGGACAAAGCCGAGGCAAGAGTTGGACTCTTTGTCCTTAAGTCGAATTTGCCCCGCAACGGTGTTTACGGATTTCGACAATCGACTCTCAAGATACAACGGCTACACTTGTGTTTGTAGCACTCCAAAACACAAGTACAACGAACGAAATTTAGGCTTATGTACTCCAAGGATGAAATGAAGGAAAATCAAAATAAATGAAATGATTTTGATTTTGGATAGAAGAGGGGATGAGAGATGTTTTGCATATCAAAATTGTGTGGAATAGGACACTCAAAGAGTCCTATTTATAGACCATGAAAGGGTGTGGACGAAATGGCACAAATTTACAAACCATCATTATACTTATTTTGGCGTCACTATTCACAAAATTCCTCCAACAGGGTTTACCTATTTGTGTTTTTAATGATAATGGCATGATCAATGGCGGAGATTTTATGGGATACCCTCATTCTTGGAAATAGAAATGGAAAAGAAAATGTTACGCCTCGTATACGAAGCTCCAGTGGAAGCCACGTCGAAACGGAATGGAGGTAATACATCTAACAATATGCAAGGTCAAGATAAGGAAAAGGAAAAAACTCTATGGCCGAAGTACTATCTCCATCGAATTCTTTGTCGAGGCAATCTTCTATCAGGCTAAAATTGTCTCGTTAAGCTGAAGTGCATATTACATTTAAAGCGGATCTGTAGAGTATTTGTAGGAATTATTGATGTAGTTTTTGTATTAATAAGTGTCAGAAATGTCAGCCTAGAGTTAGGACGACTGCCCCTTGTTAATGTATTTAATATATGGTGGAGTGATGTGAGACTTCGGTTAATGAGATGAAGACATGTGGTTTCGATCCAACGGCCACCATGTCAGCTAAAACACTATAAATAGTCACTCTTGTAACATTTCAAAGGATGGGAAAAAATATATGCAAACTTCACA